TGTGCTGCCTCGCCTAACTCGCGGGGAACCGGGCGTTGATGTTTGCTCGTGTTTTCCAGTCCGCGTTTTGTATCCTGTCGGGCGCGGACGCCGGTGGGAAGATGGTGCAGGAGAAGGCAGACTCCAGCCCCTCCAAGCCCGCAGGGGACAGGTGCCCCCGGGAGCGGGAGGAGAGCACGCAGCAGGTCTGCGATGGATTCACTGTTAGAGCCATGATGAAAAACACCGTGGTATGTTTGCCGGTAGCATAGATAGAGGTGATATTAATTAACTTAGTTTCACCTGTCCAGAAAGCATAGAAAGTTAGAGCTGAGGATAAAGCACGTCAGGAAGGTGTGCAAGTTGCTAATACTTTATCTGGAGTTTGCTGGTTGCTGAAATTACCTTCAGACTTTACAGAAGTGTTATGATAAGGTAACTGTCTGTGCCTGTGGAGATTGTCATGCTTCAACTACTGAGTGTATTGCTTTGATGCCACAATTTTCCTGTGTGGTTTTGTATTGGCAATGCACATCCCATTAAACTGTCAGCCTATGGAATTGTGTGCGAGGCTCACTGCTGTCAAATAGTACTGCTGTATTGCTTGACAGTGTTTCCATACACTGGCACAGCATGGTATAAATTTGATGTGAATGTCACATAGGATGGAAAAGATCTGAAAAGTACATTAATTTTTAAAATAAGCTTGAAAAATAATAAAAAGTTTCCACACAGTCTAGGAGAAAACTGGAAACAAATATTAGTTCTCCAATTCACAGTTCAAAGACAAAGAGGAGATGACCCAGTGAGCTTCATTTCAAGTAACAGTCAAAATTTCTAATAAATTTAGAGGTGTGTGAGTTAAAATATTAGTACAAAGTCCTTTCAAAATGCTTTATATTGTTCTATTTGTCTACCTTTGTCAGACTTTAGGAATAAAAAAAGCTTCAACTAGTACAGAATGCAAATGTTTAACATGTAAGTGGATGAGGTAATATGAGCATAGAACTGTATTTTTATTTATTTGGACACAGTTCAAGGTATCAGCAAAGTCTTGAGTTCTCAAGTTGGTTTTTTTAAACCTATATACTATTCGGAAAACAGTTACGAAATACATTATTTCCCTTTGTTTTACTAAAGTGATCTTCCTACAGCAGTCTGTCTCTGTGGTCTTGTTATCTGTAAAAGCATCTTCTTAAAAATGCAAGTGAGTCAATCTTTAAACAAATTTTAAATAGTGTAAAAATTGTGTCCTTGAAAAACTTCCTCCTTCTTATTAAAACTAAAACATGTTTCACCTTAGTTGCAAAAACACAAGGCAAGCACAACAAAAATTCCCCTTTGTTTTAAAGATTGTTTATTTTTCATTCTAGAGATGTGTGGAATAGACTAGAATACTTCAGCAACTTTAAGGATTAGTTTTTAGAAGATGTTTCCTCTTCTCTGAACAAAATTCAAGTTATGGATATTTGCACATATTTGCTTACACCTTGATATGTAAAAGACAATTTTGTCTAGAAGAATCAGCAGTTTCAATGGAGTTTGAGAAATACATATTTAAAAAGGAGCTGTGACTTGTGGACATAGCTAACTATGAGTTTAATCGGAGTTTAGGTTTCCTTTTAAATATTTATACAGCGTTAACTTTTATGGCTGCATTTCTAACTTCCTAAACATGAACAGAACATTAAATTGTGCGATATTGTCATTAAGCAACAGCCAACAGGTAAATCTACTGCCTTTGGAACTACTCATTGAATCATAGAAATGACCTTTTTTGACATGGACCTCTGGAGATCATCTAACCCAACTTCCCATTTGAAGTGGGCCTGTCACTAGCCCTAGATCAGGTCAATCATGGGTTTCCTAGCTCAGCTGTGAAATATTTGAGACTCCCTGACCTCTCAGAACAACATGTTTCATTTCTGCCCTGCTGCCCCTTGGTTCTGTCAGAGGTTGTATTGACAGTGTTCTAACCTGCTCCACAAGTTCTACTCATAACTGGATAGAAAGCAGTGAAACTGCTAAGAGGTTCTGGGAGATTCTTGGTGCCAGGGCTGTATTTTGCAAAAGCTCCAAGTGAGGACAGGCAGCTACTGGAATCATTCCAGTCAGCATGCAAAAAATCAGGAGAGAGTACAGAATGTCCCCCTGCCACTCTGGCTGTGGAGAAGTGAGTGTCCCTTTTCTCTTTTTCAACAACTGGTTAAATGGAACTTCAATTTTATTAAGTACTCACTTGTCAGAGGTTGACATGGTCGATGAAGTTCTCAGGGAAGGCTTAGGAGTTGGCTGGAGGGTTGAAAGCACAGCAGGAAGATATAGTTAAGACATGGTAATTCTTTTTGTTAACAGCATGACAAGGCATAGGGTTGTCAGCAAATGTGTTTGACATCTCCAGGTCAAACATCGAGGTGCCGATTAATAGCCGTGGGTGCAAGCATGCAGTGAGTCTTAAACTCTTAGTGGAGAGTCTTAACAGATTACCATTATGCATATGTGACTGTAAACGTTGTAATAAAGGGTCTAGAATTCTTTGATGTTGCTTGTGCAGACAGTGTTTTACTAAGCCTTTTTTTCATGAAACTTGCTGGATAAAGTCTGCTTTAAAGCCAGGTAAATACAGAAATTATGGACATAATATTTAAGACTTTTGTTGACTCTCACTAAATCTAAAATTTGCTTATTGAAATACATTACTTAATAAATATTAACCCAAAAAAACCCCCATGTTCCTTAACTGAATAAAGTGGTTTAATTTAGGTTGTTCCAAAATTGTGGATGTGTATAGCAGTTTAGATTAAGAGCAAGACCCAATAAAGGTCTTCCACACTAACAAGCTAGATACTGTGACATTTACATTTTAATTGTTTTGCCCTCCAAGTGGAATCAAGACTGCTGTGTTATGTGTTCATAGTTAACAGGTACTGCATGTAGAAATAGGAATACAATTAAAAATTAATATATAGATTAGCAAACATATAAGTGTCTGAACGTGAACATGGGCAGCAGGAAGGTATCTCGTTCACATCTAATCCTCTCCAGATATTTTTCCTATTTTCTCGAACTTTACATAAGAGAATGAAGTGTTAGTGTCCCTCTTTTCTGTAATGCACTAGTTGTAAAAGCACTTTTTTGAGAACAAGATTCATTTTATTACTGAAACTGTAAAAAAGGAATTCCAGTCCATCTCCACTTTTAAAGGATTCTTAACCAACAAGTTGTATGATTACTGAGGTGAAAAAGATCACAGGAGGGAAAATCTTCATGCATCCTTTCAAACTGCTGTTACTGTGTAGCATAGAGTTAGGATTCATAGTTCTACAAAGCAGCAAGGTGGGAAACTCACTAGGCAATATATTTTAGTGCATGCATCATTCATGCAGGAGTTTTGGAAGCTTTGGTTTTTGGGATTTTATGTCCAACATTGTTTGCTAGAATGGATCTCATGATATGGAGTGGAATTGGAACTAAAGACACCCCTCCTGAGTGCACTGTGACTCCTTACTACAAAACAGCAGAACTTTAACAGGAAAGATGGAGTTTATCTTTCCTCTACACATCCTCCTTAAGTGGCACTATTACCAGAAAAGTTGAAGTATCCTTCTGTAGCATGTGAATTTGAACTCCTCTGGCCAGAATTTGGATTTTCTTCCTGTCTTAGAGTGTAAGGCAGTAGATGACATCTAGAAAATATCATTACATTCATCTGTATTCCATGAAATCAGACAGAAAGTGACACTAGGAATAGGCCATGGGGATAGAGCAAGAATGTCTACTGGATGGCCTTGGAAGGGGAGTGATGCTGAGAATTGGTTTTGGATTTCAAAAACCCAAAGCAGCTGTTCAGCCTGGGAGAGCCTTTGTTATGTGCAGAAGAACAACTTTTGTCTTTTAAAATAAGTGCAATTGCTTATAAGCAGAAAAATGTTTATTTGGATTGCAGTTCTGGATTTTCATTCTGCTGTTCCTCATTCAGGAGTCTATGGTATGTATGTATTGGGATGAGTTTTCTACCATTGTTGTTTAAATTCCTCTTTCAAGCCATTACGTAATATATGTTGTGCAGGGCCTTCTTGCCCTTTACCCATTAATAACTGGTAGCAAGGGTTTAATTTTAACCATAGAGATAATGCAATTTGTTTACATTCTGAAAGTTGTGATTTGACATTCTATTTATATTCATCCACACTGTGTAACTTGGACTACTTTTGCTACTTACCTTGTAGCAGTAAAAATTTCTGATCTGATTTTGAGGATGTAGGAAATAATTGTTTACAAGAAAAAAGTTGTATCTTTCTATTATAATAGGTAATTTATTGGAAAAGGCAGTATATCTTGGGCAAATAGATGTCAAGTTAAATGAATGTTTTGATAAAAGTTTATTGAGCAGTAACACATCCATCTGGGAACAACTGGTCCAGTTTAACAGTAGCAGTTGTGTACAATCTACGAGTATACTTCAGTGAACACTAGGAAGCAATTTAAGCTGTCAGTGCTCTTGGAAGGCAGTCCTATCTTCTTCCTCTTTCAGGCTGTTTAGTAATGCTGCCCCTTACTGTGTCCACATTTGTACAATGTTGGCTGATCAGGGAGCTGATCCTGCTGTAAAATCCTCCAGCCTATCGTCTTTGGGACTGAGGCAAGCAAAGCTTCTGCTACCATGATACTCATGTTTTACCTACCTCCGTGTCATGACTCTGTGCTTCCATCTCCTCTTTTGCATTGACATATGCAAATACAGAGGAGGTTGGAATAGCTCTAGCAGCTGTTAATATATGCAAGGAGAATGGAAACAGGAATCTGTTGTCAGCACAAGCAGTGTGGGTGGTAATGTACCTCTCGGCAAGACCGTGGTCTTAATTCATTTAGAACCAAATACAAAATTGAGTTATAGCAGAGTAATTCCTGTGGACTGTCAGCATTTAAAGCAGCATAAACTTGCGCCACAATTGAAAGGTGTGGTTTTCATCCCTGAACATTTATTTTCTGTGCAATGTGAACTTTTCCATGGCCTTGCAGTGAACTAGTCTGAGGCCCTGGTTAAACCTAGATTAAAAGCAGCTCAGCATTTTTTTTTTCTCAGCAGTGCAGACTTAACATACAGTTTGGTAAGAGTGTAAGCTAACCAAAGGCCTTGCTGCTACAGCCTTGCCTGCTTCTGCTGCATATTTGTACCTCCTCTTTTGTGCCAATACACAGTCATGCAACTGGATTGATGAGGCACTTCAGTTGCATTAGGTTCAAACAT